GAGAAAAAATACGCAACATTGCGGAATTTCGTATTGACATCACCAAACCAAACCAAAATATCAAAGCCAATTTAAAGAAAATAAATAAACAAGAATTTTTTGAACATAGCGTCATTATGATTACGTCTGTACATACTACATATGCGGTAGGTACTCACTTATAAATAGGTATAAGTTTCTTCCGTTTACGTCAACGACTAACAGTATCCGCATCCGTTCTTTCAAATTCAAAAGTAAATTTACAATTTTTTTATTAAATTGTAACGATAAACAAGTTAAAATATAAACGTCATAAAATTCCCAGAAATCAGAAAAATAAAGCAATTAGAATAAACACAACCAGAACAAATAAATAATGAATGCACTTTGATTGTATGAAGATGTCCCATGTCAATTTAGATTTTACAACTTCATACAAGCCGAGAAGTAAAGTTTAGTCACAATTTAAAATTTATTCATTGTGGAATTCAGTGAAATTCATGCCAAAAAGTTTAAGAAAATCATTGGAAACATGGAATTAAAACATCTATTTTTTTTACGATTCGCGTATTATTTTGCACGACGGTGCCGGAGTCCTATTTTAACTTCCATTTTCAAGGCTACACTGTACGTATTTGGAAAAATTAAACTACATTGAAGTTGTTTAAAAATATCAAAGTGCATTCACAGACAGTGTAATTAAGAATGATTCATTCCAAACGAATTAAAAAATCCTTTGATCCTCTTGCTTTAACTTATATAATTTTCATCTGTTTTTAAAACAGTCAAATTCGTATTGAACGCACAAAAATAACTAAAATGCAAACTGTATAGAACTTATTATTAATCTGTAATTATATTTAACGTTCATAAAACAAAGCTGTCATTATAAATAATGACGTTCGTAGTTATCCAATAATAATAATCGATATCTCCCAAATTCGAAATTAATAATTCAATGGCAATTATTTGGTTTTAAGTAATAGTGAAAAAATGCCTATACATAATATAATGTTTAAATTTTATATGATCTAGAAATGCCAGTTTTACATGTTAAAACAAGGATAATTCATTTGAGCAAGGTGTGTGTTGGCAATAAATATGATGTTCTAACAATTTTGTGAATTTGGTGAACAGTAAGATTGCAATTTTACCAGTGCATTTTTTCAATGCTTATTTCATAATAAGTCCATTCCATAAGCTGCTGAAGGTACTTTCAACAGCTTTCCACCCAGACACAAAATGACAGTTAAAAATCCTTCACAGACTCCTTTGAGGTTTCTCTATTCCTGTTAATGGAAAAGTAGCATTTACTATAGTCTGCCATGGTAATATTTTTGCGGTGACGTAATAAAGGAAGAGTATACGTGGTGATTCACACAAAGTGCAACAAAGCACTCTTAAGAGAACCGAAAAAAGGGCATATCCTATTTGTGTAAATTGCCATTATTGGTAAATTTGCTTGTTACTACTTGCTATATTTCAATTTGGTTTTAAATGACATTGATGAATAACACTTCAAACAATATGAATTGCTATCAAATATGTTGTTTATTAAATACAGAGTCGGCGGGAACAGTAACCAAACTAAGTATTGATTCAGATTTGTGGATGGGAAAGTCCGTCTACACCAATACAGATAACTAATTTCAAAAAACTTGCGTCACTTAAAAATCACCGGAATTGCGAGTCATTTGTTTTGTTTTAGATAGGCTACTTATTTTTGATCACATTTTTAGTAAGTTTTTTGATAAAAATTAAATTTGTTGGCAAGAATCTTACTTAGGTGACTAAATAAGTAAACATCCAATTGATACCGCGCCTTGTATGAAAACAACGTAATATCAACAACAGTAGAAACAATGTACGATTTCTTGTATTAACGGAAATGAAAACTCTTTGTAGTTAAAATGACAGCAATGTCGCAATCGAAGTATCGATCATTTTTATTCGAACCACCCAAAAAGCAAAGTTACAGTAGAAGTAAACAATAAACATACCACCCGCACATTCTAAAGTAACCATTTCCAAAAATACCTCACAAATAAACAGCGTTTCACTCGTTATACCCTAACAAAATTTTTGTTCTTTACCTTAGAAACACAAATGTCCTTGATTATAATAAAAGAGTACAGTGAACAATAAAAATAATGATAAATCGCGGGGTCTTAGTGTCATCGGCGAAACAAAGTTCCTTTAATCTCTAGCAAGGGCATTACCGAGCAAAAATGAAAATCTCTCTCTCAACGTATCGCATAAATCAAAAAATATTAACAAATTATGGATTTATCACTTAGTTAAAAACAATTCAATTTTAATAAAAGTTTTAATTGTTACAGGATGGACACATTCGAATTATTTATGACCTGAACTGACACGGTACTGCTAAAATATTCATTGATGCAAAAATAGCCTTCATACACCGCTTTCATTTTAATGAAACAATTTTAATGGTAAATGTGTTACGTAAGCAATTATGATTTTTTTTAAATTGACTTCACCCCGATTCAAGGGGATAAAATCAACAAAGGTGTGACTAAATTGAATGCAGCCAACATAGGTTTAACAATCTATAAACAATAATCTGGTATTCAGTATAAATAAACAATATATTCGATGATCCCTTCCCGATTTATTTAATCACAAAACACTTAAAATTCGTAATAAATATCCCAACATGAGATAACACAGATTTTAGTAATAAATATGCATTATCGATGCTAATCGAATTTATTAAGCTTAATGCTAACTACAGGAGCCTGACATAAAAGTGATAATAAACTATCCCATGCAGTTAAGTCCGTTTTAATTACGATTTAATAAATGAATAAATAGGATGAAATATTCATTTAACTAAATTACAACCTGACAGCATGCTTTATCGTCCACCACATTAAACTGAAATTACTCCACTGCCAATTCGCCAATTTATGCACTAAATAAATACTGACTTTTTCAACTATAATCCGTAAATCCCCTACATTCCGATTTTAAAACTGACCAATACAGTTTTCTCTCAGAACAGCGAAAAGGTTTTGAGTGAAAAACATATTTATTTAATGCGGTTTTTGGTTTGCTATCAATAAAGTAACGACACGACCTGTTATGGATATTTATCTCATCGCCAATAGCTGTAAAATCTCCATTGACGACGAAACCTGAACTTCTCACAAAAATCATGATACGTATTTCTAACAAAAAACCTTCGCTAAAGGGTTCTAGGCGTATTTTCCCGAAAAATAATACAAATCCGTGACAAAGATAGGTGGCCACCGATTTTGCTGAGACAAATCTAAAGCGATCCACATAGTCTCATGCAAAACTGTATCATTTGAGAAAGAAAATAAAATGATTTAATCAGAGTGTATGAATAATTGTGTCTATACGAGAACACTCCTTGATGTATTAATAGAAATGAAAACAATTTCTTTACTTTAGTCACGAAAATCAGATTGTGCAAAAATGAATCGCGGAGTTTAAATACCACGAACCACCAGTACATTACATCTCAAATTAACAAACCTCACCCAAATTTCTCTTAAAAGCAAATTAGTGGAATAGAAGAGATAAGTAAATTACCTACAAAGGTGAAAATCTTAACAGAGGGTGTTTGTTATGATCTCCCTTGCGATACATCATTAAAACCTCTTTTGACAGATTTTACAGCATCACAATTTGCTTTAATTTTAAATATACATTTCCAGACTGCGGAAATTAAATAAGAATATTTATGCACGTTACAAATGAATACCCTTCGTTAGGAAAAATTTCTCGGAATTAAAATGTCTAACATACAATTCCAACTTGTAATTCTATTTAATTATCCCTAATTTCTCTTAAATGTCATTGTTGCAATTAAAAATTATGAAAACAAAATATAACAAGTTGGATATAAATCTTAAAACAAGTTTTTACGCATCATTTCTTCCATTTACTATATTTATAAATAATTTATAAGTGTGATTATTTTAAATTACGTAAAAAGCAGTCTTTGTCAAAACGTTTAGTGTTAGCTTAATTTATGGAATTAATGTGGTATGCACTTAAATATCTCTTCAATTTTGCAATGGTTGTAACAAGAGGCTTCATTTAGTTTTAATGGAATGTTTCATTAGAAGTAATTAATTATGCAAAATGTTTATCAATGACAAAGTCCTTGTATTTGTACATGTGTGTTGATTGATTTTTGTTAATGTTGGAGGATTCTTTCTATAAATTCGCGATATTTATGATTCGTAGAAAAGGAAGAAGTTTTATTTATGATCTTGTAAAATGATTTATTTAGCTGACTAATAAAAGTTGGCATTAAATTAAAATCAGTAAAGCTGCGTAAACAAAATACCATCTGCAAAAACGATGATTTTTCTTGAAAAGCAAATGCCGTCAGTCCGTAAAATCGGAATTATTGATAGATACAATGTAAACATTTTCGTGTACGTCTCGTCATTGTTATTAATTTGCGTTTGTGAATATTAACATAAATATATTTCACGTAGTGTAAAAAAACCGCAGCAATGCAACCGATTTGGCCAAAGAAAAAACTTCTTGAAGGCTTGACCGAGCTCCAGGATTTAAGACAGCAAGTTTAGGCCCCGAACGAGTAGGAATGATGAACATTTGTAACTTACCTGTGCTGCTGTCGCAAATCCAAAGAGGATTGCACAACATAGTAAAGAACATATCCTTAAATACATCACTAAAAACAGTTTTTACTAGTCGAATTAACTCGACTATTTGTTTTTATTTCTGTAACTTAATATGGCACGGTTACCCCACAGCAAGCAACAAACGCATACAGTGCACTAGCTGATCAATGAGAAATACAACTATGGGATGTTCAGTTACCGACTGTGCTGGTTCATTTTCCAACTCACGCGCATCGGCGCGCCAAATTCAAATTTACTACACCAACAATAGCAACACTAGTTGCAATGCCAGAAATAAATAAACATTACGCAATCACGCGTTTTTACCAAAAAAGATAATAAATCAGGGATGCCACACGCAAGAGAAACGCAAAATGTAGGCGAATATTTATTTGAAAATAATACCTATATTAACATACAGCAATATGAATGTATTTTCCAAACCATTAACAACAATCTAAGCAATCTACATTTAAGCTGTAAAAGTCAAATCACAAATTACTCCTTGTCAAGTTGGGTGACCCTCTGCTTGTGGCGATTGATGGCATCTTGATGTCTCTTGATTTGCTCCTCGTGGAAATGAATTTCATTCTTTAAATCATCTTTCAATTTCAATAACTGTTCTCTTTGCTTAAAAAAAATCGATTGTAAACAAATCTATTATTAGGATGGCGCATCTAACCTTTTTATAAAAATATTCTTCTTCCTTAGCGGCTTCAGACTTGCCAAAAGCACCACCGGCCTCACGAATTGTGCCGCCGCCACCACCTCCTTTCCCAGCCCCGCTTCCTAAATCGCCAAGTTGTGACATTAATCTAAACTGTCTGAAATAAAAATATGACAATATTATGTAAGATAATGATTCAAAGGCACTAAGTGGTGAAGTTTGGATTTTCACTTACTTGGGGGCTTTAGTTGCCTCCAGGAGACTTCGGGGGTTACGCAAAAAACTCATTTCGTACTTTACGAGAAGATTCGTGCCGCAAGTTTACTCGGATTTGGTACACTATGACAATTTTTCACCTCCTTATCCTTGAATGTCAAAATGTCAAATTCACCGGTAAGGTAGGCAGCTACGAGGACGACATCTCATGGAAATCGAGAAATTGCTATCGAACTTTCCCAAATTTTTCCCAGATTTAAATTTTTCACGGTGAATTTATTGAATATGATAATTAGTGGATTGATATTGACCAATCAATATCGCAGTTTTTTAAACCGCGTGGTTTGACTTTTTAGTCAATTTGGGCAGAGGAACTTTCGGCTGCAATAATTTGTCCACTTGTCAAAAAATTCAATGTTTGTGTCATCATAAAAGTAAATAAAGGAAATTGGGCTGTGACAACACATTAGACCATTGTGCATATAGTCAAAAAATTGCATAATTGCAGAAATCGCCACAATGATTTAATTAAGATATGACCTTGCTTTAGGAATTGTGAATTATCTTTATGATAGATGTGGGTGCACTTCAATTATAACATTTTGTGACCACAAATGGAGTTTGGTAAAGATAAATTGTTGCCAATTACTGATTCTGATGAGAATTTTTCTGACATAACGTTCGTTGCTCCATATTCGGTTGATAAAAATGAACAAACTGGGCAATTACAACTAGACCAATTATTGCAAGAAATCAAGGAAAATGTTTGGGGCTGTGACTTAATTCTGTGTTTTTTTATTGCCGCGTTGAATTCGTACAGATCGGATCGTTGTTTGAGGCCATTTCCGCCTTCATATGTAAGTGAAGAGGGAAAAAATTTTACTAGATTGGTAAATATTATATTTGGGTACTTATTCAGAATACTAATTAGGCTTTTGTAGAGAAGCACCTGTGATAGCATTCCACCTCTGACTACAATTTTAACTGAACCGAAAAAATGCTCACAAGATGTAAAAAAATTACTTATGTGGCTGTTTTTAGAAAAAGGTCATCCAACACTGAAGAGGACTAGTTTTGTAAGTGATCATGTAATCATTTATTTATTTATTTGTGTAAATATTCTAGGCTAACGTCCCATTTCCTGGAAAAATTAGTAACGTATTTAAGCCTCAATTTGTGTTTGAAGTTTGTTATCATGACAAATATGAGTCTATCTGGCATAAAAGACAGGATGGAAGAGACACAATGTTTGCATATCATGGCAGTGCTGTTGATAACTTTTATTCAATTCTCAAAGTTGGTTTGCAACAACATTTCAGTATTGAAAAGGTTTCTTATACATAGTTATTACAGCATTCAATATTTAATTTTATAATTTTAGGAGGTTTTATTTGGAAATGGAATTTATTTGTCTAATGAATTATCAGTTAGTGCACATTATGCTCCTTTTGCCCAAACTTGGGTTAACAGTTGTTTAGGAAGTAAACACAGTGTGATTGCAGTTTGTGAAGTAATTAATGATGTTGATAAAGTCAAATGTAGAGGTAAATATTTTTGGTCACATTAGCTACGATTAAATGTTTTGTTTTAGATACCAAAAATAAAAGACGATCTCTTAACGAAGACAGTTTAGGTGAAATACCCGAGAAGTATTTTGTTGTAACTGATAGTGACATGGTTAGAGTTAAATATCTTATGATTTATAGACAAAAGAGAGTATTTTCTCTAAAGTCTTACATAACACAACATTTCTTCCTGTGTCTTTTATTTTTGTACTTTATTTTGATCGTTGCCATAAGAATTTTTAGCAACTCTGGTTATGTCAGATACTTTAAAAAGTTTTATCAACTGTTTTTCCTTGACTAATTTTATTCTTCTTTATTTGTTGGTATTTTTTTACTGTTGTTCCTTAGAAAATTTATAACGTTATAGTGGTGTATTTGATAAGAAAGTTTAGTAAAAATTTAATATATGACGTTCTTTTCCATCTAATCGAGAGTAATAAATGTGATATGCTTTTATTATTAGAACCCATATGTGTATTTAAAATACAATATTATACATATTTATTAACAACACCGCAAGACTACTTGTAAGGAAACAAATAGTATGTTTTCCAGTTAAAGTTCTCATCAAAATAATGTCAGGTGTCTGCGACTTCAACATTAAGTTGTTAAGTACTTGTCAAAATTTCCGTTTTCAGTCTTATGTTTTGCAATGTTGCAACTTAATCTCAAAAATATAGGCCACTTGATCAGGCATGAGGCATGGTATAACAGTAACCATTATGTTTCATAACTGAAAATCTTGCCTAGCCGTGAAGTCACTATCAAGAGCTGGAGATTTTACTATGGTTGTGTGCAATTAAAAAAAAAATCTTTTTCTTATAATCGCTGGCTCTCCTAACTACATCCTGATGGGTGAGGTAATATATTTGCATTCTTTTGGTTGCCTAAGAAGGCAACAGCTAAAATTAGTGGTGCCATTGATTAGATTTATTCAGTTTTTATGAAAAAATCGAAACAGGAACCTATACAAGTACCTGACCTGACCTGACCTGTGTACCTACATCAGCATTTTTGTGTCTGATAGTTATTTTTGGTACAAACGCAAGGTTTACCCTAAGAGCCCATGGGGCGAGTAATAATGATACATAATAATAATTAGTAGGTTCGAAGCTGACTATTACAATGAATATCAAAACTTCAAGACATGGAACCCTTGATCATATTGGCAAGTTTTTTCTTTATTTTTAAAAGGGATTTTAACGAAATGGCTCATCAGATTAGTTCAACATTAATAAAAGTTCATCCTGCGCAGAGGGGTCAAAAGTAAGTATGTTTATTTATGTACCCAGAGTTAAAATAAAAAGTAAGGGTAGGGACAAAAATTCAGTAGCTGTATTTACTTTTATAGTTTTATAAACATCTTCAGATTATCCCTCATTGGTAAAACTAAGTAATATACTGAGATTGTTTTCTACAAATAAAATTAGGCTGTGACTACGGCTTATTAGTTACCACTATTTTTAATTTTTTGAAGCTTTATTAAACTTTGCTTCATATTCTAAATTGCTTCCTGCTATTTTTTTCAAGATATATACTTTACCATCAGGGTCTAGTAACTCCAGACGATATCGTGGTGTCTCTTGATTCTTTTAGTTGTTTGGCAACTTTCTGACTTGTTCTATTGTAATCAATAATTGTGTTTTAGCCCTGAACATGATAATGAAATAATGGGGGTATTACTTCGAAGACGGTAAATTATTGGACAACAAGTATTGGGTATCTCAAGGACCACCATACTTTTGGCATAGTGACAAAAACGGCTTGAATAACATTCAAGAAGATGAACCATCCATTTCAATTTAAAACGACCAAAGAGTTTTGTGACACTTGAATACGTAAAATATATTTTTTATAATATATATATCATAACTTTTTATAAGCATTCTTTCGAGCGTTGTAACAAAACTTAACTATAAATTAACCACGGAATTAAAGTAGCATATTTAAAACACGTTTTAATAGTACATATAAGACACAGATTACGTATCTCAAAACGTAGATAATGTTTAACTTATATTTTATTGTTTTTTACAAATCTTTATTACCACTTGTTACTTTGCCTTTATTTTTTATCAACCCTGTTTATTTATAACCAAACAAAAATTTAATATAAACGAATTGTACGCATTGGTGCCTTGTTGTACTTAGTTCCATGCGTTAATTAAACTTCTGATCATAGAATAATACATTTCTAATCAAAATAGAGCAGTAGAGTACCTAATAGAGCATTTAGTGTTGCAAACTTAATTTGAGAATCATTTGCTACTTTAAATATTTCATTGAAGGCAGGATACCGCGTGGGGCATTTTATTGTCACAATTCAATATGGCAACAGCGTTTTTTGAGGTGAAATAAGTCACAATTTGATTTTTTAATAAACGAATAATATGTAAAAAAAAAGTCGAAATTAATAATAACAGTTTTATTCGTCTGTTTTTCATATCACTCACTTTGTGATAAAAATGTAAATAGTAGTTTATTTCGTTCAGGAAAATTTAAACGTGTTTGTATGAAATCAAAAAAAATTTTTTTATATCAAATAGCAACCACTATCGTCCCAGGGGAGGGGGTACTGGCCCCAATTTGGGCGCCCATATGTGTACAAATTTAAAGCCAGGAGGCTTCAATATTTCATACAGAAAAAATGAAAAGTGGCAGAATGGCAATAGAAAAGTGCCGAGATATAAGCAGTAATTATTTTTTAACAATGTATGAAATATATTACATATACCTGGTTTCTTTGTGCCATAAGTTAATGAAGATTTAAGTTAGGATGTAAGTGACAAAGTCGATTTTGACGATTTTTTATTTGGTAACTGTTCAGTTGAAAATATATATTTCCATTTTTTAATATAAATTGATATATTACTGTTATTGTGATTGATTTGGGGAAATTTGCACAGATTGGTTATGTAATTGTTAATTTTGGGCAATTTTATTGATTTTTGTTCGATTGGTTGGGAAGGTGGCGTGAAAATTTTCGATACATTTTGGTGATAAAGATCTAGGACTGATATCTGATGTTACTTCTAATGAAATTGTGTATTTGTACAGAATAATTTAATATATTATGTAAATAGAGTGTATCCGGTTTATGCATCGTGGTATGAAGGGTTGCCTATATGAGTATGCCACATGATGGTGGTATGAAATTTGAACACTTGTTGATGGTTGTCATGTTGTTTTTCTATCATAAGATTTATTAAAATATTTACGTAGACGTTCGATCGGTTCGTTGACTGTTCAATATCGAACTGGTTTGTTTGGTGGTAACTTTTGGCAAAGTTTGCGGCCGCAGGTCGGTCTCGTGTCGGAGTATGAAAATTGGCGACATCGAAAAGGTCTCCAACAAGAATCAAGGTCTTCAATTTGCTTGCGGCGAGTTAAATGTGATGTCATAATGACATCATCGGGAAGTGCCGCGGCCGTTGTATGTTGGACATGGTGGTATTTTACAAGTATCCTGAATCTCTCCTGTTGTAGCTTCGGCTTGTCATCTGCTTAGACTCTGTGTAGATGTAGATGGTGTGTTGTGTGGCTGTCGCCAATTCCACGCCATTGCTGTTCTCTCGATCGATAGTGGCTGACGTCAGAGTTGGTGCCGGAGGGGCGCTATCAAGCAAGCGGGGGGGGCAGTGCACTTGTAACTTGGCTAGTAGTGTCATGTATCCGCGCAAGTGGCTCTGCGAACTGTCTCATGTTCTGTGATCAAATTGATGTGTGCAACGCTTGATTTGGCGTAAGTTTCGTATATTAGATCATGTTTTGTGTGTGCGTTTTAGCTGCGGTTAGTTCGGGTGCATATAAATCCTCCTACAATATTTCAGTAACGTGCTAAGTGGCCTTCACCGGCGTATTTGTGTTGACATTGAAGGTCTCTACGCAAAGACTGCAAAAGGCCAGTAGAGGTCAACTGTTCAAATAATACAGCAACGCCGAAATGGTAAATCTCAAGCTTCACTAATCTGCATCACAACATCCCATAATCCGTCCTGCGACCTGTGACCTGCTGCGCGCCACTTATCACATCGCTTATTTACGTTTATTTCGAATTGCCCGCCAAAACTGATCACAGCCACCGTTGTAACGAGATATTCGATGCTATCGTTGTTCGATTTTCGCGAAAAATTCGATCTCCAGCGGTCACAAAACAGGTTGCGGTAGTTCTGAGCGTCATATAAAGAAACAAAAAGAACATTTCCAGCTCTCGGACCGATAAACAATAATTAGTATACAATAATTTTATGACATCTTGAGATGTTATGTGCAGACGCCAGATGGAGCACCCAGTTTTGCACCCTATTCACGCTGAACTGGTTGCAGGATTGGCGGCGCCCAAATTGTCTCCATTTACACCTTTTCTGCTGTTCTTCACCTATCGACAATATCAAATATCTTGCATAATCTGCTGATCGCATACATGACCACGTGGTTATTTCGGCGCGCAATCGCGACATATTTCACAATCACATGCTGATTTATTGTTTGTAAACATACTCAACATTTCTTCTCATTTAATAACCCCGCCTACGCCGGATCCCCTCTTTTGTGTTAATCATTAAACCTTGAAATAACACCAAAACTAATTTTTCCATACATCTTTTTTTCAAACTTTGGAAGACCTGTATACTTTTACTATTAGCACAGGCAGTGGCGCGCCATCCCCATAGTGCAAATGAGTGAATCATTTTTGTCATCAACTTCAATTGCTTAAGTCGTTCAAAAATATTTAAATAATTTACGTTACCAACTGAGAAAACGAATCTTTTATAGGAATGATAGGTCTAAATAAAATTGGTCAAGATTGTTGTGTTGTGGAAATTTCATAAATATTTATCTTACATATATTTTTACATTTAATGAAATGAGAAATGACATTTATAACTTTGTAAGATATCCTACCGAGGCTAGGTAGAATAATTATCATTATGTTTCCCAAAATGTTGCCAATGCTGACTTTTAGTTTGTTCCATAAAAATACATGTTTTAAGCAAAGAAACGTGCTCGAAAATTCGTAAATTTGACACATGACTCACAGGTATTGAAATTACTATTTATGAAATATCGAAGCATTCCTGATCACATTTTTATTTAGAGGTTTAGGCTGATGATATTTTATTCCATTTAAACAACCATACCGTTAAGCGTTGCCACCCTTATTTATTTTAGCAACAGGAAAATATTAATTGAAATGAGGCAATCGTCGTAAAATTATAAAATTAAAGATTGGATTGTGTGTGTGGTATAATAAGCTTAATTATTTTAATAGTAAATACAAGAAATTTGACACAATTATATTTAGCAAAATCAAGCTTTATTAGTGAGCATAAAAACAGTAATCGATTTAGAACATAATACATAACATAACCTATTACTAATTAATCTCATATCTACTTCGGTGAAAGCCGATAAAAATTATTTGAAAAGTTCTGTTTTTTTCTCTATTTTTGCTGTATTCGCTGATAGATTTTTTTTATATTTACAAATACATACACTTATGTAACAGAA